TAGACTGAATATTTATCCTGGAATGAAAAGGGCCTAGCATTGAATTCCTTTTTTGTCTTTCTTTCTTCCTCCCTCTCTCCCTCCCTTCCTTCCTTCCTTCCTTCCTTCCTTCCTTCCTTCCTTCCTTCCAAGTATTACAAATAGTAGTACATATGTCTCCTTTTCCCCCCATTGACCTCCCTCTGGCCTCGCCTACCCCCCGGCACATGCCCTCACCGCCCCCCCCCCCCCCCGCCATGCCTGTGTCCATTGGTTATGCTTATATGCATGCATACAAGTCTTTTGGTTGATCTCTTACCACCCCCCAACCCTCCTCTGCCTTCCTGCTGTAGTTTGACAGTCTGTTCGATGATTCTTTGTCTCTGTATCTATTTTTGTTCATCAGTTTATGATGTTCTTTATATTCCACAAATGAGTGAGACCATGTGATATTTATCTTTCTCTGACTGGCTTATTTCACTTAGCATAATGCTCTCCATTTCCATCCATGCTGTTGCAAATGGTAAGAGTTCCTTCTTTTTTACAGCTACGTAGTAGAAAACAGTATGGCGTTTTCTCAAAAAATTAAAAATGGAACTGCCATTTGACCCAGTAATACCACTTCTAGGAATATATCCCAAGGATACAGAAACACCCATCAGAAAGGTGCACCCCTATGTTCTTTTCTTTCTTTTTTTTTAAATGAATCTTCCTTCTTTTTCTTTACTTATTTGTTGGTGTTCCCAAGGACCTCTCCCCTCCTCCTTTTACCTCTCTGCTCCCCTCTCCTCTCCTGTTCTGCACTCCCTTCAAAGTCTCTCGCTGAAATATAATTTCCACATTCATACTTAACAATTCATGTGCTGAAAACCTTTCCAATCGTATATCTGCTTAATTAATAGCTTTATGGACATTTTTATTTTCGATATCCCACAGACTTCTCAAACACAATAATTCCTTTAAACTGAAACCTAATATATTTTCTTATAAAAGATGGCCACTCAGTCATCCAGGGAGGAGCTCTAGAAATCAGTCAAACCAGATTTCTTGCTCTCCCTCAACCCTCACATTAATTTGGTCACAATGTCATCTTGATTCTACCTTGTACATCATTCTTGTCAAATCTATTCTTTTCTATCTTTCAAAAAGATGCTAGGTAAATATCAATAGTGAGGATAAATGAATTTTTACAAGTATATAATTTCTTAGAAATAAGTGGACATAAGCAAAAAGAACAAAAAGTACAAGGATGAGAAAAAATAGGTCAGCTCAACAGCAGCTGGAATCTACAAGATATAATTAGAGGTAAACAGATCATCCTGTCTCATTTTGACCACAGAAGCATTATATGACTGGCATACACACCTGGTAGAAAACCCGTTAGATTAAGTATTATCACCTTGAAAGGGCAACAGAGTAACAAGAAAGTTTTCTTCAGACACCAAAACTACCCATAATGATGGGATAATCAAAGGAACCAGACAGTATAGCCTCATGTGGCCCTTGGGATATCTGGACTGTAAGATCACATCAGTGAATAAACTATGCAGGAACTTGGCTGTAGGAGTGAGAGGGGTCAGAATGAGAGGTTCTTGATTTTGGATAAGTCGATACATACAGAGAGTATGCTTGAGAACCTCTAAGATTCTGTTCATGCCTTACCTTTCTCCTGGAGACATTGCCTCTGTCAGTGTAAATAAAGCAATAGAAACAACTTCAGCATGCCTCGATCTGGTGCAACAGCAGATCTAGTCTGGGGGATGTAGAATTCCTCTTCACTAGTGTGTAGTATTTACAATACACAAAATTTTGACTCATGTCTCATCAAAAAATGTTCCCTCATTCATAGTCATCCCCATTCAGTGCACAGAGTTAAGAGATGGTAGTGTTATTCGTCTGACTGTACAAAGCTGTGCTGCTTTGTTCACACCAAAGGCAGAGAGACATGGTTTCACTTTACATTGGGTAATTCACTCTTTCTAGAAAATTTCAACACTAATTCCTTTGCTCTAGATTAATTATCTGGGGGAGGGATGGTACTGATTTGGGAGAATTGCTCTCAGCCTCGACTCCTTCATCTGACCCAACACAACGCTGCCTTAGTCATCATTCTAAAACACAAATTTGACCACATGCTTTGCCATGCATTAAGTTCTTTTATGATTTTTCCACTACTTAAAGGTGACCTTAAAAATTTTGGCCCAAATAAGCCTTTTGAGCTTATTTCTCTCTATTGCTCACATAAAACTATGCTCTAATTGTGGGGGCCTACTAGAAGTTCCTGGATGAGCCATGATCTTTTCCCTTTGTGTATGTAATTCCTGTTGCCTGGAATGTTGGCCATGCACCTCCTCTGCTATATCATCTGATAACATTGCATCTTTTTAGAAGTCTCCATTGACCCTACAATTTGGATCATGTACACTAATCATAACTCTTGTCACTCTGTGCTGATTTTTTTATCTCCCCTAGTAAGCTCTGTACTTCTTCATGGTAAAGTCTGTCTTTAGTTCTGTATGTCCAACTTACCTAAGTGCCTACCGTAAAATAGGTACTCAAGGAATAAAAGAATAGATGGACAAATGAATGGACAAAGGAGGGATAGCTGAGTGACTGAGCTAGCTAGAAATATAAAAGGTAGAAAGAAAGTATATTGAAGTATCTTTACCAGTTGTCAACCTTCCCATTCAACTGTACTGTATAGAATGCTGCCATGATAGTCTTCTTAAAATATAGATATGCTCATGTCAAAACTTTAATATACATGTAACAATATCCATTGGCTCTTCATCTTATAAATTACATTGGTCACTTTTTAATCTTTTCTGATCTGACCTATTTACACTTTCTCAGCTATTCCTAAACAAATACTCCATGATCCAGCCCTCCTACAGTTGACAGTGTTCTCAAAACATATTAATTCATTTATTCAGTTATTTCATGACTCTTTTCTAATATCTGCTTCAGTGCTAATGTAGTATTTTTATATATTATCTAGTATAGCTAATGACTTGCTTTATAAATTTGACAATAATCTTAACCTCCATTTTTATTTTTCTATAATTTTAAAGTGGCTAGCTGAGAAAAGAGATGAAGTAATTCAAGGGAAAGCTCCTATCTATAATAATAAAAGCATAATATGCTAATTAGACAGGACATCCTTCCAGACGAACTTCCAGAGAAAGTCAGGCTGCAAGGGAAGCCCAGGTCCCAGGTGCCAGTGGCTGGAGGGAATTCCAGGTCCAGGGTGCTGGAGGGAAGCCTGAATCCCAGGTGCCAGAGGAAGCTGGTGCTGGCAGCCGGGGAAGGATGGCCTACTCTTGCATGAATTTTGTGCATCGGGCCTCTAATAGGGAATAAAGTTCTTAACAAATGTAAAGTGTTATGGAGTTGGGGCCAGATGCATTTTTAACTTTTAAAAAGCTTTATTCTCTGCTCTAGCTAGTTTTGCTCAGTGGATAGAGCGTTGGTCTGCAGACTGAAGGATCCTGAGTTCGATTCTGGTCAAGGGCACATGCCTAGGTTGCAGGCTCGATCCCCAGTAGGAGGCATGCAGGAGGCAGCAGATCAATGATTCTCTCTCATCATTGATGTTTCTATCTCTCCATCTCCCTTCCTCTCTGAAATCAATACAAATATATTAAAAAATAAATAAAAAGCCTTATTCTCTTAATTTAGGAGGTGGTACTTTCACCTAGCAAGGTCCTCTAAACACTGTACAGGCTTTTCTGATTCTGATTCACATCCTCTCTGTGCAATAAAGCCACACCCATGACTGTCTGAAGCCTGTTTTCACTTGAGATTGTCTGGCTTGGGTCTGCCAGACAGCTCAGGGATAATATCCTTCAGATTTCTAGAAACCCTTTGAATTACCTGAGAGAGTCTTTCAAGTTGCATCTGAATTATCTGAAATGTTTTCACAAAGAATCTTATAGTCATAGCCTTGATTTGATACTTATGTTGAAGCCATTTCTTTCTGACCAAGCCCTGGACTTGATTTTTCACTTGTTTGAGAGGCCAGGGTTTGAGAAAGAGCTTTAGTTTCTACCACAAGTTCTGGTCCCTCCATATTACTTTTCTGTACTTTCAGACTCATCAGTCCTTTATTTAGCACGCCTCTTATAGTACCTTATCAAATGAGACTACTAAGAGCCAGCTGACACTTCCACATTCTGCCTGGAAATCTCATTACTTGTATACAAAAGTTCATTAGGTGCATTTTCCATCACTGGCGTCTCCTCAGGTGGCAGCTTTACCAACTGCTTCTCTCTACATAACAGGGATAGCCATTTTTCTAGCTTCCGAGAGCCTTTCTCTCAGTGCCTTTCCACATTTTATTTGCTACCCAGTTCCAAGCCAAGGGCACATATTTTAGGTCTTCGTTATGGCACAACTTATTTCTAGGTAGCTTCTCTCTTATCCTTACACATTTAACTTACCTCTTTTCAGTAAGCTAGCCTGAATTTATTCTCAAAACATGGTAGGGTGCCAAGAGAGGGAGTGGAAATACTCAAAAGCATTTTCCGAACTCCACTGGCTTCAAATCTGCTAGCTTTCTACTAGCCAAGGCAAGTCACAGGAACAAGCCCAGAGTTTAGGATCCAGCAATAAACCCACCCATTTAATGAGGGGAATTGGAAAGTTACAGAGCAACGTATGTGGATATTGAAAGGTTATTTATTGGTGTAATTAATAAACCAGTCTACCATACATATTTCAGTTAATCTTTAGCAAATTAGATAGTATTTCATTTGCATGTAATGAAGGAACTCGAAACTAAATTAATAGCTTTTACTGTGCAATTCTGTATGAGTTGTTTGAATTATAAATGTTAATATTTGCTATGTTACATACCATCTTCCTTAAAAGCACGTGGTTTCAAATGGGTCTTGCATACATTATCTATAGATCTGAATTGTATGGTGACTTTACCAGAGGAAGATGAGAGGGGTATGTGAAATAGTGCATTTCAGTACTAAGACAAAAATAAAAAAGTAAAAGTTTGTTTCTTTATTCCTCAGGTGATATTTGTGATCCCAATCCATGTGAAAATGGGGGCATCTGCTTGTCAGGCTTGTCTGAAGATTCCTTTACCTGTGAGTGTCTGGACGGCTTCACAGATCCCAACTGTTCTAGTGTTGTGGAGGTTGGTAAGTGCAAGATTTACGCATTTCAGTAGTTATTCTCTTTATTTCCATGAGTGGCTGACAAAGTTGGCTGTGGTGCATTGTAGGTATCCTATATAATAAAGAGGTAATATGCAAACTGACCATCACACTCTCACAAGATGGCTGCCTATGACCAGGCTGGCAGGGGGGTTAGTGAGGGATGACCAAATGACTGAGCTGCAGGCTGCATGGGGTGACCAGGCTAGCAGGGGGGCTGTGAGGGGTGACAGGCCAGCAGGGGGGCAGTTAGGGGTGACCAGAGAGACAGGCAGGTGAGTGATTAGGAGCCAGCAGTCCAGGACAGTGAGAGGGATGTCCGACTGCCGGTTTAGGCCCGATCTCCCAGACAACCCCCAAGGGGTCCAGATTGGAGAGGGTGCAGCTGGGCTGAGGGGACTCCCCCTCCCCCCATGCACGAATTTCGTGCATTGGGCCTCTAGTTCTGTATAAGATTGCTGTATGTTGCTATTTAGTTACTCCTCTGTAGGACTCTCAATTTTATCATTTCCATTTTATATTTAAATTATATTTTATTGGTGTTCTTAATAAGTAATTTTAGTACATTTTAATGGTTAACACTATACTTTAAAGGCACTACAAGTGCTACTGGAATATGATAAATTTCTTATCTCTCCAATATTAATATACATTTATTCACATTTATATTCACAATAGAAAATCATGCTTAAGTCAATTTATTCAAATTCAATAGTCACTCTAAATAAAACAGAACTTATTTTAGCAACTGATAATATTATCAGTATTTTGTAGCTGTTCTAATTTTTACTTTTCTAACACTATAACTATATGAAAGAAGCCAATATTCTAGCTACATTGTTCTTCACAGTCCTCTCAAAAAATTGCTTTACAGATACTAAATAGTCATTGATCATATTTCAAAGTGTGTGGGGTTTTTTCATCTGTGAAGTACTTCATTGACATGTATAATTATGAATTCAGGGTAACTTCCATAACTTCCAAATAGTTCCTCATTAAGAAAATAGCTGTGCTTTAAATAATTTACCACTAAGTAAACTTGTACAGAGACTTTTCTCTCTGGTTAAAGATAATACCATGATTTAGTTTGATAGATTGCAATGTGTTTCTTTCAGCTCAATACCAAGAAGCATAAGAAGAGTCTATATCTGATCTATATAGGAAAACCAAACATGTTTTTCATTAAAGTTCTGTCAACTAGCATAAACCTTGGGAAACTTGGAGATTTCTATAACTTCTGAAATAGTTTTGAAGCAGAAAAGTAATAGTGTCTATAAGAATCATCTTTATGCATAGTAGGAGGCCAATCATTGTTTCAATGAATGAAAGGATCCTATCTAATAAAGAGGGAATATGTTAATTGACCCTCACACTGTTGCAAAGATGGTGGCGCCCACAGCCAATAAGGAGGGAATATGCTAATTGAATGCCATGCCCTCAAAGATGGCGGTGCCCACAGCCACACGATGGCGGCGCCTAGTCCCTTCAGCCCACTGGGGCGCCTGCCTCCAGAGTCTCTGTACCCTCAGCCCCCCAGCCGCCCAGGGCTGGCATGAGGTGCAGGCAATCCTTGGCTGTTGGATGCTCAGCCATCCAGGACTGGCCCAAGGTGCAGACCAGCCTCAGATGGTGGCTGCTCAGCTGCCCAGGGCTGCTTGAGGCTCAGGTAACCAGGGCTGGCCAAGGCTTGCGCTGCTGGCAGTGGCAGCAGCAGAGGTGTGATGGGGGTGTTGCCTTCCCCTGATCACCAGGTTGCCTCCTGCCCATGAGGGCTCCTGGACTGTGAAAGGGGGTTAGGCCAGGCTGAGGGATGCCCCCTCCAGTGCATGAATTTTCATGCACTGGGCCTCTAGTAATTAAAACCATTAACTTCTGTTTTTGGCCACTAGCTATTAGATTTTAATATGCTTTATCTTTTAAATGCCTTTTTATATTACATTAGTATGAATGTATTATGTCTAAAAAAGTTAATTATATATGACTACTGAAAAGTACCTTGTACATTAATTCATTTCAAAGATAATTCTTTTACAAGGTTTATATTAACTTGCTCCTATTTAAGATGGTTTGATACAGTGCAATAGAACTTAAACTGTTGTAACCACTTTAACCCAGTCTCCAAATATATACAGGGAGTTTTAGAGTTTAATCTGAGAATCATATGCTTAGGAAAGTCTATAGCTCTGAAGAAAATTATAGACATAAATATTTCTAATAGGAATATATAAATAAAATAAAAATTTATTTAGTTAAGCCCACTAACCCCAGATATGGCAGTGTCTTCGATTTGTAGTATATAATGCTCTTGTTGCTACTGTGAAAGAGTCAAATCTACAGTTGAAGAAGCAAATGTATTTAATTAATTTTAAAAACAAGTATCTTCATACAATTTTAAAAATAAATAATTGAATACTTTTGGCCATATTTTTAAACAGTAATTCCATATTTACCATTTTATCAGCAGAATGATAGTATTAGCAGCAACAATTTAAAAATTAAACACACTATAATATTCCATGTACTTCAGTGAGACTTTGGGAATCAAATGCTTATAGAATTTTTATTCAGATTTATTATTATAAGTACCTCTGAAATAGGGCAGTTATACTTTATTATCTTAAGCAATACATTTTTTGTGATATGTTTCAAGCAACCTCATTCTTCCATGAGGTCTACTTAGGAGTTCTTGGAAGAAATACATCCAGCTTTTATTTGCTTTACCATTTAGCATAGTATATTTGTTATGCCAATTGGTTTTATAAGATTAAAATAATATAAAACAAATGCCCTAAAAGTTTAAAATGTCTATAGTTTCTTAAATACAGCTTTGCTATTTTGTGAAATAATATTTTTAAAGAATGAGAGAATAGTAAAAAAAGCATATTTTTTTAGGTTAGATGGTTCTTTGGAACAGATATGTTACCTTATTTGCATTTCTACTACCCCTTTCTCAGCTCCATATTTTCTTACATAGAATAAGGACATACTAAACATTTATTGAATAAAAACAACAACAATGCCTTTGATATCTAACCAACTTTAGATTTTTTCATATCTTAAAAATCAATGAAACAAAATAAAGGAAACTTTAGATTATTGAAGATTATCCTGTCATTTTAGTTTTAAAAATCTACTTCTTTTTGTTGTTGTTGTTTCCCTACTATTAGGTAGCACCAGTGCAGAAAGCACAGTGTACTAGAATTTTATTTCCTTTAAATACAAAAGTTATATGTATTTTAATGTAAGATATTAAAAGACAAAAGTTAGAGCTGTCGCTATTGCTGTATTTTTACTTTCACATTAATCTCCCAAAGATGGAGGAGTATCTTAGGTTTTTCTGACCTTTTAAACCATATGAACTTTGTGATTATATGAAGTTCTAAATCTTTTTGTTTTTAATTTCTAAAGGAAAGAAATAAATGTGTCTGTATTTGTTTGGAAAGTTGTGTTGTGATCCTAATTTAAAATTATTTTTACTTTGTTCATTCTGTAATCAAACATATACTTACTTTATTATTGTACATTTGGAAAGGAGAATTTAAAATACATGCTATTCTTAGAGGTAAAAAATGCTGTTTGATTTTACCTCAAACCTCATTATTTTGTAGTGTCCTTGTTTTAAGTTCTTGATGCTACTTACTTCAAAAGAGATTCTCATCCCATTTTGTACTTTAATTCTTCCCTCTCAAAGCATCTAGTGTCAGATAAGTACAAAACACTTAACCACATCTCCAATCAATCCTCACCTCACTTACATTCGCATTGTAGGGGGAAGCTTGGGAATGTTGACTTGCTCAGATTTGTGAACTTTATTTGCTAGACAACATTATTTTCTTTGAATTAATTCTTGATCTGTCTGTATATTCCAATATCCATCTTTTACCTCTCTCAGTTTCCGTTTCTCTCCTCTCTCTGTCTCTTTCTTGACCACACACATCTCCCTTATACAGACCTATCTCCCAATCTCAATGCTCTCAGCTTCTTAGTGTTATTAAGACTCACTTCTGATATTTATAAAAGGCAATAGGAAGACATGTCTCAGAGAAAGGGGAAGTAAAACACCTACTACACATCTTCAGATTTGAAGACATTGGCTAGATTAACCAGTATTTGCACAGATGTACACATGATGCTAACTCATTCTCCAGGGGTCTTGTACACAACAACTGTGAGATTAAGCCCCAGATTATTTTCTAATTACCTCCTCACATTCCTGGTTAATTCTGTGCAATTTGGAGCCAAATGCTGACACATCTATTTCATATAGAAATTTCCATTGCTAGTGAATATTCTAGAGTACACATATAAAAATATTTGGAATTATTAAATTTTTCAAGTTTCATGACGTAATTCTCTAATAAACTAATGATAAATATAATATTTTACAACACAAATACATAATATATTAAAGTAACCAAAGAGAACAAAATAAGTGGTTGTAAGTCTAGTAAACTAATGATAAATATAAACTTTTACAATGTAAATACATATCATATTAATGCAACCACAGAGAACAAAATAAGTGATTTGACTTAAAAAAATAAAATCTTAGCTTTTATTGATTCTTAAATATATATTGAGTACCTACTGAGTTACCTAAATGGTAGAATGCAACGGTAAGCAAATTTACAGAAATTGCTGTCTAGCTAGGAAAACAGAGAAATAAATAAATAGATAAAGATGATGGGTGTTGTGATAGGAGAAGTATATGGAGCCATAAGAATGTAAATCAGGTGTCATATCTTAAGCGAGGTGTCAGAAAATGCATGCCTACCTGAAAAAATTATATCTTGAGATAATTCTTAAAGATAATTTCAGTCTAACAGACAGAAAGCTAAACATATTCAAGACAGAGGATATAATTCTTAGAAAAGCCAGGAGATAAGAAAAGTCATAATTCCATGAACTGAAAGAAATTCAGTGTGTCTAGAGCTTAAAAGGGAGAGACATGGAGGCAGCAATGAATTTGCAGATGGTGATGATGT